ACACGTTTCATCAACCCCCAAAACTCCACTATGCCCCTTTGTAGTCAAACCTCACACTCAGCCCTGAAACCTACTGATCTATTTTCTTTCACTATAGTTTGCTTTGCAAGGATGTTGTATAAAAGATAAACTTACAGCACATCAGTCTAAGGAGTTTCATAGACCTGTTTCCCAGAAAAAAACTGGTGAAAACTATTTTTAAAAACATAAAGTCTCTGAAATGGTCCCAAGGACATACAGCAAAAGAAGAAAACTCTATGCAAAAAAAAAAAAAAAATTACAAAAATTTGGCAAGAACAACAAAAATCTGTAGTATTTGAACCAAAATCACTCCCTCCATTCTCCTGGCTCAGTGAGATTCCACTCCACTCAACTCCAGACTGGTGTAGCCAAGAACTCCCAGCTCCCTCTCCCCCAACTCACATTAAGAAGGCTCTATTTATGAGAGGGACAGACGTCAGCATTTCTCATCCTGGCCCTAGCTATGGTTGCTGAGGATAAATTCTGTGTCAGTATAGCCAGGAATTATGGGTTTCCATCTTCCACCCAGCCCCCAAGATGAGACTAATGCTCTACTTTGGGTGAAGTACTTCTGAGAGCGCGAAGGCACCAATCACCTTTCCCTGGTTTATAAGACAGTGGTTCCATGCTGGGAGGATCAAGCAGAGAAGACCTGAAGCTAATGTTCCTCTTTAGCTAATACTCAGTTCCTAAATCAGAAATTTTACTCTGAGAGATGCTTGCCATTGTCCCCACCCCCAGCTCTGGGGCTATAGCTTAGAGATTTTACCAGGGGGTAGAAGTGGGACATCAAAGAGGTCACTCCTAAACGTTTCCCTAGGAAAGTGACTTATTTGCAAGAGCATGAAAGAAATTCAAGGCAAAGGGCACTCTCAAATACAATGGAGGTTGTGTTGAAAAATTTGAGAGGTCATTGGAAATATAGGCTGAACTATAACTTGGCTAATTGCGAGAGATAATCAGGAATAGAAGCAGCTGGGAGGAGCCCACATGAGGACAGAACAAATCTCAAACACTAACCTAAGGAACCATCCCTTCAAGGAGCACAAATTTGATTGGACTAGTCTCTAGAGAAATTTATGCCTGGAACACTGTTGAAAATAATCACCAGCAATTAGTTTAATTTAACAGCTGGGTGTGGTCATGGAAAGAGACAGTCAAAGAAAGCCCTGATTAAATCATCATCATCCCAAGATGACTGTGGGCATATCCAAGGCTGCACTACCTGAGTAGCAACTTCAGAGGCTTAATACTACAGGGGAAAAGTATATTTCACTAAAATAATCAGCCACTCACTAAACAAATAAAGAAATATTAACAATAACAAGTCCGAGAGGTGAAAAAAGAACCATAACCATAGTTGCTATATGATCTAAAATGTCAAGTTTGCAACAAAATATTATAAGACATGCAAAGAAATAGGAAGGTATGACCCATACACTATAAAAATAAGCAGGTAACACATAATGCCTGTGAGAGCAACCAGATATCAAATTTAACACACAAAGGCTTCAAAGTATACATCATATACATGACCAAAGATTTAAGGAAAATCATCTTTAAAGAAACAAAGGAAGGTATGACAACAATGTCACATCCAATAAAGAGATGCAAATTATAAAAAGTACCAAGTGGAAATTCTGGAACTAAAGGTGCAAAACTGAAAATTTTATTAGAGAGCTTCAGCAGTGGATTTGAATTGGCAGGAGAAAGATTAGCAAATTTGAAGACAGATTAATAGAGATTATGCAATCCAAAAACCAGAGAGAAAGAGAATGAAGAAAAATGACAAGACCCTCAAAGAAATGGGGAACACACACATAATGGAAGAACCAGAAGGAGAGAAAGGTGAGAAAGAAATATTTAAATAAACCATGACTAAAACCATCCAAATTTATTGAAAACATTAACCTTTACATCCAGGAAGCTCAATGAACTACAAGTAAGATAAATACAAAGAGATCCACACACAGACACACCATAGTAAAAATGCTAAAAGCCAAAGACAACATGAAAATCTTAAAAGGAACAAGAGAAAACAACTCGTCACTTACAAGGGAACCCTATAAGACTGACTTCTCAGCAGAAACAATGGAGACCAATTAGGCAGTAGGATAACATATTCAAAGTGTTCAAGGAAAAACTGTCAAATAAGAATCCTGTATCAAGCAAATCTATCTTCAATTTTTATTGTTGTTAATCCTCACCTGAGGATTTTTTTTCATTGACTTTTAGAAGAGAGTAGAAGTGGAGAGACAGAGAGAGAAACAACGTGAGAGACGTATCAATTGGTTGCCTCCCAAATGCACTCTGACCAGGGATGGAGCTTGCAACCAAGACAGGTGTCCTTGATCAGAATTGAACCCGGGACCTTCAGTCTAAAGGCTAACACTCTATCCACTGAGCCAAACTGGCCAGGGAGAGCAAAGCTATCTTTAAAAAACAAAGATAAAATAAAAACATTTCCAAATTAATAAAACCTGAAAGAATTTATTAATTCAATACCTGCCTTATAAGAAACACTAAAGAGGTATTTATAATACATGCATTTGACAAAGGACCTATATGTAGAAAATATATATATTAGAGGCCCGGTGCATGGATTCGTGCACATTGAAAGAAAATTAATTAGAAGAAATATTTTAGAGGCTGGGGAGGGACCACGGGAGGTTGGCTCCAGGACGTGTCCGGCCCAGTTCCGATAGGCCAGACCCCAGCAGCAAGCTAACCTACCAGTCAGAGCATCTGCCCCCTGGTGGTCAGTTCACATCATAGCGACCAAACAGTAGAACAGTCTGACACTTAGCATATTAGGCTTTTATATATATTGATATGTATAAGCAGACCTCCTAAAAATCAATAAGAATGCAACACAACCCAAAAGAACTCAACAGAAAAAAATGACAAACCCTGAAAAGACACTTCACAAAAAAAAGATATCCAACATGGCCAATAAACATATGAAAGGGTGCTCAGTTCATTAGTCAGCAGGGAAATGCACATTAAAACCACAATGACATACTACTACACACCCACCAGAATGGTTAAAATTAAAAAGATGGAAAATGCCAAGGGCTGGTGAGGATGTAGAGCAACCACAACTCTCATATATTGCTGATGGAAGTGTGAATTGGCACAACCACTTTGGAAATTGTTTTGTAGTACCTATTAAAGGCTAAATGTACATGTACCCTTTGACCCAGAAATTCTACTCCTAGCAATTATATTCCTACCAGAAATGTGTACATATTTCACTAAAAAACCTGTGCAGAATGTTCAGAAGTACTATTCCTAACTAGAGGCCCAGTGCATGGATTCATGTACTAGTGGGGTCCCTCGGCCTGGCCTGTGGACATCCCCCAAAAGGTCCCGGATTGTGAGAGGGCACAAGCCAGGCTGAGGGACCCCACCAGTGCACAGTCGTGGCCAGGGAGAGATCGTGGGAGGGCTCCAGGGCGTGTCCGACCAGTGTCACCCAGATCGGCCAGACTCCAGCAGTAAGTTAACCTACCAGGCGGAGTGTCTGCCCCCTGGTGGTCAATGCGCATCATAGCTACCGATTGCATGGTCGCTTAGACTTTTATATAGTATATAGATAGTAAAAAATAGGAAATTACACAAATGCCCATCAACTAGATGGAAAGTGAGAATGCCCTATAACAATATGCAGAACTGTGGATAAATATCACAACATAATGTTGAGTGGTTCATACTCTATGGTTCTACATCTGTAAAATAAAAACAAGAGAAACTAATCTATGCTAATAGAAGTCAGGATAGCCCTAGCTGGTTTGGTTCAGTGGATAGAGCGTTGGACCATGGACTGAAGGGTCTTGGGTTCAATTCTGGCCAAGGGCACATGCCTCAGTTGCAGGCTTGATCCCTGGACCTGGTTGGGGTATGTTGGGGAGGCACCCAATCAACGTGTCTCTCTCACATTGATGTTTCTCTCTCTCCTTCTCCCTCTCCCTTTCACCAAAAATCAATGGAAAAATATCCTTGGGTGATGATTAACAACAACAACAAAAAAGAAGTCAGGATAGAGATATTTTTGTTGAGTGGAACAGCGACTACAAAATACGACTGGGTTTTCTGGGGGGCTACTGGTATTTTGTTTCTTAATCTAGGTGCTGATTTAACATGTTTACTCCATAGGGCTGTGGCAAGGGTGAGGCCAACAGGATACCTAGGAAGCAAAATGTAAGGAGACACTCACTCTCACCTTGTTTGCCTCACCTTTACATCAGCCCTGATGTTCATTTTGTTAATATTTATTGAGCTATATCATGATGACGTATTTTCTGCATGTATATTATACTTGGATTAAAAAATGTTAAGGGCCTGGCTGGTGCGGCTCAGTGGCTGAGCGTCAACCCATGAACCAGGAGGTCATGGTTTGATTCCTGGTCAGGGTACATGCCCAGGTTGTGGGCTAGATCCCCAGTAGGGGGCGTGCAGGAGACAATGGATCGATGATTCTCTCTGGAACACTTCTGAGTTTCTGCCTAGCTTTGTTTTCAGTTTGCAAATTCTAAGACCCTTAAATAAAACTCATTTACTTCTAGCAAAGCCTCTGGACTCCTTTTGAATGTTTATTACTTATAAATGAAAGATAGAAAATCCAAAATTTTCTAAATTCATGGGTATCTTTTATAAAAGAAGTATACTGGAAAGTCTTTTTCTCCTCCTAGTTGTGGACAATTTTATATAACCAAGATAGTACTTTTTTTTGAAGATAGTACTTTTTTTTTTTTAGAATAAACACTCCTTAAGGTTAGGGTCTAATGGATGTGCCAGGTGTAAAAACTGTAACAAAACTACCCAGCTTTTATACCTGGCACACTCCATTAGACCCTGTTACTGTTTCAGTGTTTATACCTGGCGCACTCCATTAGACCCTGCTACTGTGATCTGACCTGCATAGTAACTGTGCCAGCTGTTTCACTGAAGCATGGAGGCTCCCTAAAGCTTTGCCTTACTTGGTTGTTGCTTCCCTCTTCTTCCTCATCGCCGTCCAGACCCTGATGGGCAAGCTCGGTGACGCTGTTCTCCTGGAAGAGGTTATCCTCCAAATCAGACACTCTGGTGGCTTCCGTGATGACTTTGAGCTTCATGCTGTGAAAGCCAGTCGAGACCACTCCCACTTGCAGGTTTACGGGCTCCCCCTCGAACAGCAGGACGTGTGAGTTTACCCCATGTTTAAACCCAGGGGGCTGGTAATAATCGGGGGTCACTGCAAAATAAAGAGTGAAGAAAACTGAGTTTCAACAGAACAAACCAGGTTCATCTTTCATGTGTAGCAACAGAGATACTTTTCTGATGCTTGCAAAATCCTTCTATTTACATAAAATGTTACTTCAACGCTTCGGAAGGAATTTGACTAGAGGTCTACACCTACCTGCACTGTAGTAGTGGAGTTTCATAGTAAGTACAACATCATTAGGAAGGGGTCCAAGGTTCTGCATCAGGATATACAATTTACGGAGTAGTAGAATGCTGGCTTTCTTCATATGTCCCCTCTTTGTCCCACTTTCAGTGCTCGTATTACTGCTATAACCACATTAAAAAAAAAACCAGCATACTTTTCAGTCATTTACAATATCAAAAATATCTTTAAAAAGAACAAAACTTTTTACTATAAGATCAAATAAAAAGAATTAAACATCAGGACACTCTTGTGACTTCTTTTAGAATGTAAATTAGAGGAGAGGTTGTATTTTTTACAATGTATATACAAAGGACTTCTTTATAGCAAGTTCCCTTGAGGTATTTTAAATATGACCTGATTTTTTAAAATTTGATTTAAAAATGGCCACATGCTATAATAGTGAGAACAATGAATTTGGAATGAGGAGACTTGACAGCTAATACTGGCTCTGCTGCTATGAGCTGACTAACCTCAGTCAAGTCACATGGACACGCTAGGTCAGTCAGCTCATTTATAAGATAAGCTTACACACATTTCTACACCTTTTCTAGTATAAAATCGGTCATCAACTCTGGGCCTTTCTATCATCTGTTATCTCTCAGAGGTATCCCCTCCTCACTCTTACATGGATTATGATAATGACTATTCTTCCTGCTTTTGTCTTGTCCATACTGAAAAAGTTTTCCACACCACTGCTGGAATAATATTGCTAATAGAAAAATCTGCTGATGTCGCTCGCTTGCTTAAAATTCTTCTATTACATCCATCACCTTTCAACCAAATTCGAGAATGGCGTACAACGCCTTTCATGACCAGCCAGGCCCTCACCTCCACCTTCATTTGCAATCACTATCCAGTTACTTATCCACGTGCATTTGCACTTCGCTTTCCCGTGCTTTTCCCACTTCTCTTCCTGACTCTCCCGAAGTCATTCTTGAATACCTAGCCATGTGTCACCTCCTCAAGGAAGTCTTCCCTGATAATCCCGTACCTCACCCTTGTTTATAGCTGTGTGTATGTCCCCCTCTAGACTATGAATTCTACACCTTTCCTCTCCACAGTACTAAGTTTGGCGCCCAGCTACAGTAAGTAAACAATAAATATTTGTTGAATTAAGGAATGAATGAACAAGTTGGACAAAATTACTTTCCAATTCTAACATTTTCTTTTTCCTAAGAATTTTCTTCCCCAATTCGTTTCACATTTGAGTAGTTTCCAGGAAGAAGTATGACTGTAATATATTTGCACACTACCGCTCACATAGTAAGCACTCAATACTGAAAAATAATCCTCAGTAATTGAACTATTGGAGGCAGTGAGAATTCCTAAAACAAACATTGTTAAGTAAATACATTTGTTCCTGTTTCAGTTCCGAATAACCTTCAGTTTTGTCTACCAGGATTTAACCAATTTGAAATAGGTAACCAGAGATAGCCATTTAGCTCATGGGTTTCTTCAGTATACGTCATATTCACATAAAATCATATTCAAGACTCCCCTGCACTCTTTTAAAAGGCAAATTATCTTTACCATGGAAGAGGTGATCGGTAATTTTATATGGTGATTATTTAAACAAATGTCTACCTTTGGTTTCTAGGAAATCAGTAATATGTATTACCGTCTCTCCTTCTTAGTAGCTGAAAGATTTGGCCATTTGTTTTACTGCTCACCTCTTGACATACATGCCTTCATAACAAAAGAAATTTCTCGCCCTAGCTGGTATGGCTCAGTGGGTAGAGCATTGGCCTGCAGACTGAAGGGTTCTGGGTTCAATTTCCAGTCAAGGGCACATACCTCGATTGCAGGCTCCTCCCCAGCCCAGTACTTGGTCCGGAGGCAACCAATCGATGTTTCACTCATATGATATTTCTCTCTGCTTTCCCTCTCTCTTCCACTCTCTCTAAAAATCAATGGAAAAATATCCTTGGGTGAGGATTAAAAAAAAAAAGAGAGAGAGATTTCTCTGGTTGTCACTAGTTCATACATTTGAATTTTAGAGGATAAAGGCAACTGTTTTGTGTGAGAGAACATGTATGAAAAGTACTGACCAATCTGTGAAGTGCCATACAAATGTTAGCTAATGAGGGTTATATTCTCATTCTCATTCCTAGAACTTACTTCCTCTTCACATCCTAGTGCCGTCTGTAAGTCTTACAAATGAGAAAATAATTAAGGAAGTGAATCTTGGAGAGACATCCTCAAACTTGCAATAAATTATGAAACAGAGCTAATAGCAGAAAACTGAGAATGAGGCCACATTTCTCTTTAGAGTCATTCCGTTCAGGGAAACTCATCCCCTTGGCACGGAGTCCTCTGTCCCGCGTGCTTTTCCCATCATCCTCCCCTCCATTTCATTCATCTCATCAGCAAATTTTGGCTCTTTCTAAACCCAAAAGCTCCTGGGAAGAAAGTAAAGACAATAAACGTGGCTCCTTACTAAAACATCTCCATCTGCACAGAGGACCTTCGGAAGCAAATGGCCTTGTCTTTGCTATTTAACCTGTTAGTATATCTAAAAACTTGGGATTCGAGACGTGCTAGGAAAATACAGTGCTTCCCAGTCTTTCCCATCCTAAGACATACGTAGAAAATTATTTGTGTATGACATACTGAGGTCAGCAGATGACAGTGATGTGTCTATAAGCAAATCGTTCAGTGGTTCCATCTACCCCAGGTTCAGAGGCAGAGAGGACCGTATCTTGGCATAGCAATGAGACATTTCGGTTTAGTGGGAAGATAGAGCCTTTGGAGCTCTTCCGTCAGCACCATGTAGACGGCCTCATTAACATAATTTCTACTGCTGTGCTGTCTACCAACCACCATTGCCTTCAGGGACCACTATCACCACTACCACCACCACCACCAGGTACCATTCACTGAGTGTTTATTATGTGCCAGACATGGGCACAGCTTAATATATGCATTATAACTAATCATAACAACCATATGAAGTAGATACTGTATTATCAACTCCACTGTGCATACTAATATTTAGGGAGGTTGAGTAATTTGTCCAAAGTTATATAACCAGAACTGTCAGAGCTGGGGTTCCAAGCTACAGCCTTCTGCCTTGGGAATTGGAACTCTTAACCACTTAAGCATAACTGCTTTAGAGCCTGCTAACACCACCTATGAGAAAAAGAGGGAAGCAGAGGACGCCCCTATTTCCACCAGAAATGTCAGCAATTACACGATTCTCTTTATAGCAGTGCTGGTGTTCTTTGGAGGGTTCCTGGGAGAGGAGAGTTAGAAAGGAAGCATAAGGCCCATCTGTGGCCTCAAGAGGCTTATGTTTACCCCAATCATATCTATTTCTCGTGTTCATTAAACAATTAGATTCTACCTGTCAAAATCCATAGTGATTCCTTCATTTGTGTATTTGAATTTGAACTGGTATATCTCAGTCACTTTCTAGAAACATCAAAGGAAACAGAGAAATAAATTACTTTAAAAAAGAAATCCTTTGGTAGTTACAAAACAGTCAAGGGGATGTGAAGTACAACATAGGAAATGTAGTCAATAATATTGTAATAACTATGTACTGTACCAGGTGGGGACTGGAAATATCAGGGGGAACACTTTGTAAAGTATATGATTGTCTAACCACTAAGCTACACACCTCAAACTAATACAAAATAATATCAAATGTAAACTGTAATTGAAAAATAAATTTAAAAAGAAATCCAGAATCTTATCTGATAATAGATAAGGAACATTTTCATTTCGTATCTACTATACTTCCTACTTACCTGTTTGTTTCACAGCATTACATTATTCAGGAATAATCTTTGCAGATATAGAGATAAAGATTTTTCTCCTGATTTTTTTTTAAGAGAGAGTGGAAGGGAGGGGGAGAGACAGAGAGAGAGAAACATTGATGTGAGAGAGACACATCCATTGGTTGCCTCCCCCACATGCCCCAACCAGGGCCGGGGATTGAGCCTGCAACTGAGGTAAGTGGCCTTGAATGGAATTAAACCCAGGACCCTTCAGTTCGCGGGCTGATGCTCTAGCCACTGAGCCAAACCGGCTAGGGCAATTGTTACCATTTTAAAGCTGGAAAAACTAAGGCACAGAGTCAAGTACGTGACCAGCATAAGTAAATGACAGTGGAACCGGTTGAGAAACCATTTATTCATGTAACAGATATTTACTGAACTTTGTGTCAGGCACTGGAGTCACCGTGGTGAACATGACAGAAAAGGTCCCTGCTTGAGCTGAGTCTTGGGTAAAAAGAGGGGACAATGGGGTATTCCAAGGCAGAGGGAACAGCAATACAAAGGCTCTGAAGTAAGAAAGAAAGCCTCTCCCAGGTTCAGAGAGGAGGCCAAGAGGCTGGCAATGAGTGAACAAGGGGGAGAGTACAGGAGATGAGGTTGTAGAGATTTGGGGGCCTGTCAGTCACAGTAAGGGGTTTAGATTTTATTATAAGTGAACACAAGTCCATTCAAGGGTTTTAAATAAGAGGCTACTGCAGTAATTCAGAGAAGACTAGAATGGCAACAGGAAAACTGGAAAAAATAGAAAAGAAATTAGGATCTATGATTTCAGGTCTTGTTTTTGTTTATCCTGCACTTAAAACTAGGTACTATTGCTATCTTCTCCCCTCATTGTTAAGAAAGCTAGAAATAAAGAAGGGCAAATTTCCTCATGAGAGATATACTCCAATTAAAATATAATAATTGTCTAGTAGTTGAAGCAAACATTTGGCCCAGATATACTAGTGTGTCCACGGAGCTGGAGGAGGTATTAAAGACAGGAAAAAGATGTGAGTTTAAGTCAGAACATAAAATATACCCTTCATTTATCTATTTGTTCCGTGGAAATGTGGGAATGAGGATGTTAGGTTGATCAGAAAAAGTCTCAATGCTCGTTACTTTTCTTTATTATAAGACTAGTGCACAGATTCGTGCACATTGGAAGGAAATTAATTAGAAGGTGGTCAGTGAGCGGGACTGGGCGAGACGGGCCGGACACGCCCTGGAGCCAACCTCCCATGATCCCTCCCAACCAGATGCACCTGGGGTGGTGCCACGGCTCGAAGGGCGTCTGAAGAGTGAGCGCAGTCCCTCTGGTAGGTGGGGTCCCTTGGCCTGGCCTGTGGGGATCGGGCCAAAACTGGCTCTCTGACATCCCCCAAGGGGTCCCAGATTGCGAGAGGGCAGTTCTCGGGTGATGCACCCCGGAATCGGGGTCCCTCCTCTCTGGTTCCAGGGTGCATCACTCAAGAACCGCCACTGCCAAGTCACTGCAGCTCGGCAGCTCCTGCATTGAGCATCTGCCTCCTGGTGGTCAGTGCACATCATAGCTATCGACTGGATCAGGGGTCCTCAAACTACGGCCCGCAGGCCACATGCAAATACAAATATTGTATTTGTTCCCGTTTTGTTTTTTTACTTCAAAATAAGATATGTGCAGTGTGCATAGGAATTTGTTCATAGTTTTTTTTTAAACTATAGTCCAGCCCTCCAACGGTCTGAGGGACAGTGAACTGGCCCCCTATTTAAAAAATTTGAGGACCCCTGGGCTGGATAGTCGAATGGTCGTTTAGTCTTTTATATACATAGATTTGCTATCCCATTAATCACAAGTGAACAGGTCCTAGAGAAATTAGCTCATCTGCTTAAACTTGAAGAACACTGATTTTTAATGGAGATAATTTTAAAAGAAAAAAAAAACATTTTTCTAGCAAGAGTTGAAAAATCCAACCAAGTTCAGAAGGCTGCTTTGTGAGTACAGTCAGATCTACGGGTTCCACATCTTCAGATTCAACAAAGCAAGGATCAAAAATATTTAGGCCCTGGCTAGTGGTTAGAGCATCAGCCCGAGCACTAAAGGGTCATGGGTTTGATTCCAATCAAGGGAATGTACCTCAGTTGCAGGTTCGATCCCTGGCCTGAAGGCAACCAATCAATGTGTCTCTCTCACATCGATGTTCCTCTCTTTCTCTCTTTCTCTATTTCTCTCTCTCCTTCTCCTTCTATCCCTCCCTAAATGGAAAAAAATATCCTTGCCTGAAGATTAAAAATAAAAAAAGTTAAAAAAATATTTGGAAAAAAAATATGCCACGTGGCTGCTGACGTGCACTATGTAGTTAGGCCTATGAGGGTTGTATCTGTTCTGAACATGTACAGACTTTTTTCCTTGTCATTATTCCCTAAACAATACAGCATAACAATTATTTACAGAGCACTTCATTGTATTAGGTACTACAAGTAATCTACAGATGACTTAAAGTATTCGGGAGGATGTGCGTAGGTTATATGCAAATACCACACACTTTATATCACAACTTGAGCATCTGCAGATTTTGGCATCCACCGGGGTCCTGGAACCAATCGCCCAAGATGACTGAGGGAGCACTGACAGTAGGAGAGGAATGTGAAACTGGAGTGCCTGCAGCAACAGCTTCACTTCAGACAGGCCCGTTACATGGTGTCGTTGTCTCTTCGCTGCCGCTGAGTGTAATTGCCCTGTCACGCAAACAATGCCTATTCCTCCTGCCTGCCCATGTTTCCCAGCCAACTCCAGCTTTGAAGCTCTGAGCTATCGCTCATATTTTAAATTGTACCAAGAACAGATCCTTTATGACCTTTCTATAAACAGATTGTTTAGCAAAACTGAGAATATACAACTTTTACTCAGTTGTGCTATCTGTTGTCTGAGATAATTTGAGAATGAAAACATTTGATTTGTATCCTCACAATATTCATATAGTAATTCTTTAGGGGCCTATTATACATTGAGTTGTATAAATCTTTCCTTAACATATTTACGTTTTGGCTTACACTTATTAATACCCTCCACACATTTTGTAGTGTGTGTCTGCAGAAAAGCTACATTACCCCTCTTTACTACTTTACTTTTTTTTTTTTTTTTTTTACTTTAGTTACTTTTGTCAGTTCATCTCAAAACGTCAAGTGCACAAGCACAGCAACTTTGTGTGTGGCTCAAACTCTTGTTGGCCTCTGGACCGGGTAAGCATCCTTTACTTAAGACACTGGTTCTCAGTTGCGGACCGTGACAGACTCTTCACAGGTGTGCTGCAAAGTTTAATCCGTGGGTAAAATGTATTTTCACTTCAGGTAAACATTAATATTGGTACTGTAGGTGCAGTTTTGCGTAGTGGAGGATACAGTTCTATGGATATGAGTCAGGAAACATGGCACGATATCAGATAAATGCCAATAATGAAGAGTCTGGAAGCATTCAAATTTTTTTTTCAGGCTCATAAATGGTATCTCAGAATTTATCATATAATAAGCCTTTGTTTCCTAATTCCCTGTTATATATATTGCGTGTAACAAAGCTCATTTAATAGCTCTCCTCTCTCTGTAGGATTTTTCTGTAGTTAAGCCCAATTTGCTTAGCAGTTCACTACCTCAAAACCACCGATTTCAGAGTTGAAGTTGTGTGTGCATAAGAAAACATAGTAATTTACCGCGCTAGGGAAGTGACCAATTTATTAACAATTTAGCAGGAGGGTTTAGTTTGGGAAACTTCCCATTAGAGCTAGAAGGGGAAAAAGCATTTTGAAGTTACACAAGAGACAAAGACCCAGAGGTACTTTGGCATTAAAGAATTGTTACCCGCCTGTATGTACCAGTTTTCTTCCACCTTGTTCAAACACTTATTTATGATCTTGCCAAGAAAGGATTTTGAAGACTAAAAATGCTTAACTTAGTCTTGAATGCCACTAATTAGGCTAAACCCATTGGCTTAGAGAAGGAAATGGAAAGCAAAGAAAAGGTATAGGAACCGGAAGGAAAGATAGGAGGAAAGTAAAGAGAATGAGAAGAATGAAAGGCTTCTCCCTCCATGTCTATGCCACCGCCAGTTTCCATTCAAAGCAGCACATGTAACTATTACGTGCCCAAGACTGTAATATCCCCTTTGGGAGAGAGAAAACAAGAATTCAATCTTGATCTCAAGAAGTCACAATCTGGTTGGGAAGATAAAGTAATCTACATGAATCAACTGAGAGTGTTAAATTGTGGGGTACTGATGAAAAAGGAATTTAGAGAAGAAAGAAATTAGTGTGAACAGAAGAGGCAACAAGGCTTTCATGAAATATTTGGAGGTAAGTTGGCCTTGAGGATGAGTAGAACTCAGTCAGCAGAGGGAAGAAATTTAGAGAAAGAAAGAGAGAGGTAAAGCTCTGAAAATCTAGGAATAGGTCAAAAAGGGGAGAATTTAGTTGGGAAAAAAAAGTTTACAATTATGCCATATCTTCCAAAAGGCCACAAACAAAAAGGATTCAGAATCAGTTAAAATAAGTAATAAAATATGGTGTTTATACAAGCAGAGATTCTTAATGTTAACATGTTAGGGAACAGGCTCAGTTCTACTCCACGCTTATTTTTCAATGCCCGTAAGTAGTTTTTAAAATCTCATAATAAAGAATTGGTGAAATTTACAATAAAACACTGAAAGAGCTCACTACAAGTTACTTTGCTCATATGACAACCCAGTAACATAATCTATGGCCTCAATGTAGGTAAACATATTTAAATATAATGTACATATACTACCCATCTCTATGTGTGTTCTTACCTCAGGTTCCTTGGGATTTGGGTAAAGCTGTTTAAGGAAAAATAAACAGCACTTAATTTCTGAAAGATACTAGATTACTCCTCACAGAATACATGTTCTATATCAGGGGTCCTCAAACTACACAGCCCGCGGGCCACATGCAAATACAAATATTGTATTTGTTCCCGTTTTGTTTTTTTACTTCAAAATAAGATATGTGCAGTGTGCATAGGAATTTGTTCATAGTTTTTTTTTAAACTATAGTCCGGCCCTCCAACGGTCTGAGGGACAGTGAACTGGCCCCCTGTTTAAAAAGTTTGAGGACCCCTGTTCTATATGAAGAGTTCAATTTGTGCTATATTGAGTACAGAAATAGATAGATAGCTAGCTAGATAGATAGATAGATAGATAGATCTTAAGATACATAGTTCAAGCTAGAGCTAGAATAAGCTCATTTTGTAAATATAGCCTTTAGAGTATTCTGTAAACACTGACTATAAGAAAATTGATAACCAGGCATTTATGATTACTGGTTATGATTTGTGACTGAGTTACAAATAAATTCTAAATAATTTTCATGGTTTACAATTTTTAAATAAATAATATATCTAAGACTCTCAATGATATCTCATTTTCTTTATATCTTAATAACATTCACCATGCTATACCCAGAAATAGGTAAAACTTCAGAAAACTCTACAAAACTTCAATCTGTAAACTCAAAAAATAAAATCCTGATAGCCAATAGATGAAGCAGTTGGTAATCCTATATTTTCCCATGTATTACAATATGCTAAAGAAATAGTTTGTGATATTTTATTAAAACATCACAAATTCTATTTTTTAAAAATTCCAAAATGTCATAGGACAGATAAAGAAATTCAAGAAAGCAGAGGAAAGTACTGTTTTAATGTTTCACTTGCCAAAAGACAATGAAGTAGAGGCAGAGGCTTGGTCTTTAAATGTATACTTACCGTAAGTATTGCCATGTGTAGCTTCAAGAAAAAAAAAAGTTATTATATTTTATATACTTGCACCTATGTTGCTATTATATTCATTAAAGGCTAATTAAAATATTATTTCAGAGAGGTCCAAAGTTTTGAGTTGAAAAAAATATTATTCAGAACAAAAGGGATCCTAATTATTTATTCACTCAGTGAGTGCCTATTACATACCCAGGGTTATGCTGGGAAGAGGAGGGATTTAAAAAAAAAAAAAAGAAAGAAAGAAAGAAAAAGAAAATAATTATCATTATTCTCTATAAGTTATATTATAGTTTGGGAGGTAAAAGATATGAAAATAATTTGTTATTACTAAAAATTAAATGTACCACAAGTATTTTTTTAAAAAGTGCCTTTTGAAACAAATCAACTAAACTAAAAAGTTTTAAGCCTGACATAAATCTATAAAACCTTTGCTCTCCCTACATCTATGTATTACTATAAACAGATTTTCTCTGCTTGAATATATAGATATACAGATAGAGATATAATAAAGCCTATCATAAAAATTTTAAAACTAGAATACAAATGACAAAATTTCAGGACCACAATTTCATAGTAAATTACTCACCTATTTCACCCAAAGGACTAAAACTTTAGTGACACTGTGTGGCTATTTTGGTTACTGCATACAATTGATTTTAAGACTACACAGTGCAACTCAACTGTATATTAATTATTTAATGAAAAGTTTATTCATTCAAAAATAGACATGGCCCCAGCCCTGGCCAGTGGCTCAGTTGGTTGGAGCATTGTCCCATACACCAAAAGATTGTGGGTTCAATTCCAGTCAGGTTACATACCTAGGTTGCAGGTTTGATCCCAGGTCTGCACTTATGGGAGGCAACTGATTGATGTTTCTCTTTGCAGGGTACATACCTAGGTTGCAGGTTTGATCCCAGGTCTGGGCACTTATGGGAGGCAACTGATCGACGTTTCTCTTTGACATCAATGTTTCTCTCTCTCTCTCCCTCCCTTTCTCCCTCCCTCTCTCTCTCCAAAAATCAATATCCTCGGTGAAGATTAAAAAAAAAAAAAAAAAGACATGACCCGGATCACAGAACTTGCAGACCAGCAGGGAGGAAAATATTAAACAAAAAATATCACACAAAAATAAAAAAAAAAAAAAAAAAAAGACATGACCCAGATCACAGAACTTGCAGACCAGCAGGGAAGAAAATATTAAACAAAAAATATCACAGAGATAGGTGTCAATTGTATTATTTGCTATATAGAAATAGCACAAGATGTTTGAGAACAATGTAGACGGGGGGAAGAGAAGTGTCAGAAAATGCCTCCCCGGGAAGTAAATATTTAGGCTGAGACCTGAAGGGTACTGGAGTTAGCCAGGTAAAGGATGTTGGGTAGGAAAGATAATTTCCCAGGCAAAAGGGAACAATATGTAGAAAGGTAAAAGGCACTTGGCAGATTCTAGATGTGTTATGTGGCAGGAACATAGTGAGCAATGGTGAGAGTGATGCCCTGCAAAAGCAGATGGAGATTAGATCACACAGGCCTTGCAGATCACTTCAAGATTTCTTCAAGAAATACAAACTGAGAGAGAGTGAAAAGAGGACACAGATGGAGAAAAGGGGAGAAAGCAGCAATAGACATTTCATTTTTATATATTTTGTCTCTTTAGCTAGGACTAGAGCCTCTCATTATTACACCCTTTGTAGCTGTCTTGGGCAGCAAGAAAGATCTAATGCACTTAAAATTTAAGCTGCATTTCTAAAAAATTTGAGCTACAGTACTTATTTTGAGGGAACAGATTATATATATACACCAAACATAGTTACCAAAATAACCAACACAGAATAAAAATGAATTGTTCAAGTCCATTTTTCCCTTTCATATCTGCAAACTGAATCGCCACTATTTTGAACACGCTCAATTTGCTGAATGCCAGATTCTTGTCTCCCCTCTCCCACATCCTGTGGGTCTCTTCCAGTGACTTCAGAGGAAAGTCTGTGGTCAAAAGATATGAGTATGTAAAAGAGAAAAATGAGGGTTTCATTTCTAATTGATGTAAATGAGACATCAATGGGACAGCAAAAACTTAAAATAAAAAGAAACTTGGTTCATGAATACAAATGCAGGCACTGGTACAACATTAAACACAACAAAATAAAGGCTAATCTTTTTTTTAAGGGATAAAAGATGAGTCTTTGAGTAAATGTTAAAACATTCTTACGTATCCCCTTTCCAAAGCGTCAAAACAACCTCGAATCCTGTCAAGAAATAAATGTTGATGTCAATTCAGACTAGATTCAAAGCCAAAAAAATTCCAAATACAGAAATGATTTATATGTTTTGCTTTGAAGTACATTAAATTGATAATCATTTAGTTGCCTTTCCCATTTAATAAATTTTTAAAACTCCCAATACCTTTCACTATGTTAATAGAACTTTATAAATAATAGGTAAGCAATTTTAGGGTACAGAATTACATCTTATTTTTCATGTTGGTTTCCATACTGTTTAGGACACTGGCATGCTATCACAAGTAATCAAACATTGATTGATATTTTTCTTTCTTTATACAAGTCTATTGACTTCAAAAATAACACTAAGTCAGTATCTTCAAATTACATTGATTATTACAAATTTGTAGAAAATTATTTTAAAAAGGAAGAAATTATTTTAAAGAACTGTTACCACCACCACAACAAAGAGACATTTAGTTTCACTTAATGCAGTATGAACACAGATGGAGACACACTCCATGAAATAAATAGCTACACGCGTGGGCTTCAAGTCAGACTACCCCGATGTGAGCCCTGGGTGTACCACTTGCTACCTGTGTGATGTTCAGCAATTGAGCCTCATGAAGTCTGTTTCCTCGTCTGTAATATGGGGATTATAACATATCTCACCAGAGTGAAGATGCACATTCTTTCATATTTTATCATCTCTAATATCAGGATGTATCTTATAACTGGTGGTGTGTCTTGGTTTCATTAGCAACATCTTTTTTTCTTTCTTACTGGTACATAAATTGTGTAATTTACAAACTACAGCATTTTCTATTCAACTAAACAATTAATACATACTTCATAAAGTTGTTTTGAGATATAAATAAAATCATGATGTAAAATCTTATGCCCTAGAACTTGGCCCACTGAAGACTCTCAGTAAACAATACCCATGAATGTTGTACAGTATGATTTCTGTAAATGCTGGCATTTTCCTGTCTTTTTAGTCATAATTTCTGTTTGCCAAAACTAGAAGTTAATTTATTTGCAAAATCCTTGTTGTTGGAACCATCTGCCTACCAAATTGTTCATCACATTTCCTCTAAAATCTCTGGCAGCAAGATATTGACCCTAAGGGTTTAAATCTAAAATGTGAAATGTGGTCAAAATAAAGTTTGTGAACGTCTTAAAAAAAGAAAGAAATGATGTTACCAAATAAAGTCTTATGGGTGATTTCAGCCATGATAAAAATAATATTCAACTTTTGCAAAATTTCAATTACTTACCATTTAACAATATGCACTGACCCAGGAGAATTTTCATCTTCTCGGAGGATTTTTAAATTGAGGTCTACAAAAATAGAAACACAGTCTATTTTCATCTACTAAATGACCGTTGGACTAAAATTGTCCATTCTAAATAAAGGTATTTCCTTTAACTATTTTATTTATAAAACTTAGTTTTTATAGCTTATAAAAATATTTGGACTCTCTACTAGTAAATATCTAAAAATAAATCCTATGTTGATAATTAGCTTCGTTCTGATTTTGATTCTAGTTTAGTCTATCCTTACACAATATAGTGAAGGGGAGCCGAATATTACTCCCAAATGTGCCACTTGAGCATGTGGATTATTTGAAGCGAATAGCAATCAAGACCCAGCTGACTCGCCCGGCCAGTGTGGCCTAGTGGTTGAGCATCAACCTATGAACCAGGAGATCATGGTTGGATTCCTGGTCAGGGCACGTGCCCAGGTTACGGGCTCAGTCCCCAATAGGGGGTGTGCAGGAGGAAGCGATCAATGATTCTCTCTCATCATTGATGTTTCTATCTCTCCCTCTCCCTTCCTCTCGGAAATCAATTTAAAAGAAGACATACTGGTATTTAAAAAAATGGAAGACCCAGCTGACTCAAGGTAAACTTTTACCTTTCCATTAACTGATTAAAAGTATTTAGATAGGGGACCTGGCCCAGAAAGAGAGCTATTACCAGAGATAACATTTTATCTGATAGACTTGCTAATCTGCATTAACAGGGAGAACATCTGATTACCAAACACCTGCTCCTCTTATCTTCCTGTGAACTGCCCTCCTTCTCTTTGAAACTCCCTGGCCCTTATCCCATTGCTTAGCTCAGAATGGCATATACATCTTAATTGCCTGACTTGCCTTTGCTCTCATATTTGTACGGGGCTCCTGTATATACAAAATTAAATTTGTTTTTCTTGTGTTAACCTTATGTCAAATTAATTACTAGACAATTCAAGGAATCTAGAAGGGTAGAAGAAAAAATTTTCATTCCCAACAGTTGCACAAATGAATTGGCTGCAAAATCAATTTGTATCACTTCTTTGCTTCTGTTGAATTCTAAATAATCAGGTAGTATTGAGACCATCTCCATTAACCAATTTAAAACATACACTTCAATCTCAAGTCACTTCTTTTTTCTTTCTCTTTTTTAAAATTTATTTTGTATTTATTTTTTCTCCTTCTTTGGGGTTTGTACTTTCTTATGACATAGAGAGGACAGAAAATTGTATTAAAAATCTTTAGTTCACGTAAGTCCAAACTCAATCACTGATTCATGTATGACTTTGAATAAGTCACTTCACCTTTTCATATTGTTTTCTTATTCTAAAAATTATGTCACTTCTATCTCTACTGAGGAATATTAAAATTATTCCATGTTGTTAAAACATTTAAAGATTACAAAGAAAGAGAGTGACATAGGAGTATTGAGCATTTTTATGATATATGCTACTTGAAGTACAAACTTTGAGAGGGAGACATATAACTTCCACAAAAACTGTCACAAAAAAATAAAGCTATAGGAATGGTATTACCCACTCCCCACCCCGACCCCCATGCCTAGGGGCAGTAACTAGCACACAAGTGTTTAATTATATTAAAGAAAAAAAGAACACAGGCCCAAAATGAAGTTCAATCTGCTAAAAGCCCATGACACCAAACCTAGATTGAATACAAGATCTAACTGAAGTTTCAATCTCTCCCAGAAATATCATCTTAACCAGCATGGAATTTTCTGGTCAAGCACCAGTAAGGTACATCTGTCCCTATGGCCCCCTCCTTCCTTTACAGAAAGAAGAGCCAATCTGTATAACCAAAACCCTGCCCGTTATCTTCTAAAGAAAAGGTGTCCTGGCCCACAAAGAATCCATTCTTTTGTTTGTTAATAGCTTCCTTGCTCTACCCTTCTTCCTATTCAAAGCTTTCACTTTGTACAGCCCCTCAGAGGACCCTTCTGGTTGCTGGATGGGATGCTGCACAATTTATAAATTGCTAAATAGAGCCGATTAGATCCTCAAATTTACTTGGGTGAATTTTGCTTTTTAACCATTAACTACCCAAAGCATGTCTTTTTCCAATTCTATGTTCCAAACAAAAGGAGAAACTATAACTATGTGCTATTTATAAACATATTCATTATTACAGATTTATATCCAATAAACCAAAAAAGGACCTAATGCAAATGAGGCTATCATAATAATTATAAATATCTTGCTTTTGTGTTTATAGCATACATATTTCACTGATGCTCATGTAGAGAGTCAAATGTTTAAGAAAATTAAATTGAAATGAGGCTAAGGTTATAATTAAGTACAGATATGAGAAATTGAAAGTAAAGTTAGATTTTTAAAAAATGTTACAAGGACACTTGTAGCTCTCCATATTTATTTACTTTTTTATTTCTTAATTTTGAGAGTATGTTTATTAAAGCTGGGGACAGTCTAACAAGGAAGGACTTAGGATAGAAGCAGCAGCAGGAGAGAGCGTGTGTGGGGGGGTGGCTTTGGCTCTCTAGAAATGTTATAGAAATGAGCTGCTGTTAGCTCGCTGGAAAGTCAGAGAGAAGGGGTCTCGGAGACAGGTTCAGGGGGCAAGCTGGCATGAGCTGCTACTGCCTGCTGCTCCCCTGGTTGCAAGTCTCATGGAGACCCTTAGAGTTTAGGAGAGAAAAGTTAGGATGCAGGCCTGAGAGGGAATAAAGGTGTGTGTGCTCCCAAGAGGAAGACCGCACCTATTTATTTTTCAAATGGTAGTTCCTACTTTAGTAACAAACCAGCAAGATTTTCTGAATGGTTATCATAATCCAGCTTTTTAAACAAATAATAAGATTTTGAAAAATTGAGGAGTCCTGGGTACATTTTCTAAAAATTCAACAGAAGAAGAGGAGCCCCAAACAGCTTGTAATGTAAGAAAAGGAGATCATAAGTTTGAGGACACCAGAAATAAAAAGGCCCTGGCCAGGTAGCTCATTTGGTTAGAGCGTCATCCCAATATGCCAAGGTTGTGGGTTGGATCAGGGCACATACAAGTATCAACCAATGAATGCATAATTAAATGGAACAAATCAATGTTTCTCTTTCTCTCTCCCTTCTTCTCTCGCAAATCAAATCTTAAAAATACAAATAAAAAAGAAACAAGAGGAAGGCAAGTTGAAGGCCTGGCATTGAGAAAGGACCAAAGCCGATTAGAATAATAATTGTTTAAATATACATGCTAATCAACAAATGGTTTTGGCATGAATATGCATTTTACAGCATATTTACATATATGTTACTAGGAAGAAGAGTTTTCACCTGGCTCTCAATGCCAAAGTACAATTCAAAGAACAAATTGAATTGGATGCAAATCCATAGCATCCAAATAGATTTTGATTTGGCTGCTGCTTTGATAGGTCCAGTTTAGATTTATTGGGCTTACCCATATAGATTTCTTTTCTCCTTAGTCTGTCATTTGGTATCTGGCCAGGAACTAATAGTTCCTATAAGTAAAACCACTAAGCATAGTCAAATTAAAATGGAAAATTAATTAGCAAATTGTTCTTATGGCCTATGACTTGGACTCGGCACACTCGGTGAGAAATTAAAGCTTTACTCCTGCCAAATAGAGAAAAGGGATAGAATAGCCAAAGTAACCATTTAGTTCAACTTTACCTTCCAAATGGCGGTTTCCATAAGAGCTTTCTGGAAACAGGCCCCTTAAATATGTTATACATGAGACAGAAGTAGCAAAAAGTTTCTTCACCATTGTCAGTGACTCTTCCTGATCACAAATTTGGGATGGGAAAATTGGTCCCTGGAAAAAAAACGATGAAAAAGATGAGTATTCACCCTGGCCTGTGTGCGCAGTGGTGAAAGCATCGGCCCGAGCACTGATGGATCGGGGTTCAATTCCTGGTCAAGGGCACGAACCTGGTTTGCAGGAGGCAACTGGTCAATGATCCTTCTGTGCTTGGGCCGACACTCTAACCACTTAGCAACACAGCCAGGGCTGAAATGATTACTCTTGCATGTATAACAACAACTTTGGGGAGAAATTGAAACGGATTGTAAAAGCGAGGCTAAGGAATTTATGCTTTATTTTGTAATCAATGGAAAGTCAGCAAATTTGATCTGGTGAGTGAGTAAAATAATTGTTTGAAGAATATTAAGCTGTAGTAGAAGTAAGCAACACTGAAGCTCAAGGAGAATTAGGTGTATATGTGGTGTGAATGTGCATTTTGTGTATTTTGATCTTTGTATCCATGACTCCTGAAAAATTAAGGTTCTTTGGGGTAATTGTGTAATAGCTGGCATGGCATGCA